TAATAAAACGGTGGCCATTGTACAGCGTATTTCATAATGAATAGGACCAAACGAATGTATATCTGTGCTGTTGTGATGAATTTAGTACAGAAATACGAATGTAGGTACCATGTAAGAGTAACTAACTACTCGTAACGTAACGTTGCGACTTCGCGATATTACCCAAAAGCTTTGCAGCTTTGGACCCTCGGTTTATTTGGATAGAATGCTTGTTTTGATCCCATCTACCACCCAACTTTTGTTTACACCCTGTATAATATTGTCAAAATGCATAGAACCAAAATACACACCCATAAGAAAAAATAAGCTGTCTGCCACCATGCTGCTGTCAATTTGAAAAGTACATAGTGTGCAAATCTAACCTTTTAACGTAACCGAGATCCCAGTGATGAGGTGCAAAAATGAGCTCTCGGTACAGTAAAAATTTTGTTTGTGACCAGTGCCCAATAGTTACATTTTTACCTAGGACCTAATTAAAAGGTTTGAAACTGCATTACAGTCCATTTTCACTACAATTTTGTGCATAATAACAAGGAAACCCCTGCCTTGTCTAAAAACTTATTTTAAATTTCACATTACACAAAAAAGTTGATGTTAATTCAGGAAAACAGTTTATTTATCTTGATGTACATATATAATGTATATCGAACTTTCATTGCTGTAGGGTATTAAATCGACGTTCTATTCTACAAGTCGACTAGTGGCCCTCGAAAAATTAAAATTTTTACATGAATTGCCGCTGAAGTAAATTAGGAACACAATACAGAAATTGCCCAAAGCTACAATAATATTTTTCGTAGAGTATGTTTGTGGATGTGTATGTTACAAAATGATGGATTTTCGTTAATGAGAGTTACTAATATCACAGATTAACTACAATCTGTTCTAATACCTAAACAAAACGGACATTACATCAAGTGTTAAGTACAACGTACAGAATTGGTTATAACTGTAACGCATAAAACCCCATAGTTCTACATTGCTCAATAAGTTTTGAAAGACATTATTTTAGTGTTAATCAGATGCAGTTGTGAATGCTTCCCATTTTTTGTTGCCGAAAGTAAATTTGTTGAATAACGAGGAACCTATTATTCCCACGGGATCGTGTTTAGCATTTTCTTTATATTGGCGCAGTTGGTAGCATGTTTGAATTAATT